TGTCCGTGGCCCAGGACTGCACTTTGAAGGTCTGGTGCGACGCTCAATGCAAGCAGTCCATCGTGCACGCTGGGACCGTGTGGCAGGCCGGGTATACGGTCTTGCTAGAGGGGTTCATGTTGAGGCTTATATGAGGGTTAAAAACTTCACGGCAACAACAACGAGAGTAATTTCCAAGTAGGGTTTAGGTTTTAGGTTCCAGGGTTTGGAGTCTTTCTTGCTGTTGTTATCCCTGACAGCAATCACGCACTCTGTCGTGAGCTGATGTACACACCTTCGGGTCGCTAACGTTCCGAGAAGTATGACTGGTCGTAACCGCATTTTTCAGACTCTTTCCAGCGGACGCTGATGTCTTTGCTCGCCAGCGAAATCAACAGAAGCTGCCAATGCCTGAGCTTAAAGTCCAGTGTATCCAAAACACGAACCTGCGACTGGATTGGATTTCCAGTGCAATATTGTATTCTGCCCAGCCTTACACCCTTAAGACGTCCCTTACCCTTACCGCATGAGCCCCGATCCGAAGGCAACATCCCTGCCGAATGCAGACATCGTGACGGCCTGTGCTGACATGTGCGTGAGGGTCATGGCCCCGGCAGCTTTGCGCAGGGTTAGAGCTTCGAGCTTAGGGTTTAGAGTTTAGGGTTCAGGGTTTAGGGTTTAGGAGAGAAGCAGGAATAGCAGCATCCGATGGCAGCAACTGCAACACAAGAACTATACAAGACTATACAACAAGCTACGATCGCAACAAGAGTTGTCATCCTCGTAACATGAAGAGAGGGAGTTCCGGAATTTCGTGCCCCCTGCAGACCAGATTGCAATTGCATGTGTAGGAATAGCATTAGCGATAAGCATGGTCGGAGACAAGGCTTCTCTACTACAGCTGCTACTAGATTCAGGTCTGTGGTTGCAAGTACGGCACGACTGAGGAATTCCCAGACCCCGGGGGATCCAAAAAGTAGATCCCTACTATTTGGGGACCCCATACTACCAAAGGGTACTTCATAGGAACACTTTTGGATCCTCCCGGGAATACGGGTCGCTGGGGTTTCCTCGAGTAACAGACAGGAAAGCCCTCCAGCGTCCAGCGTCGGAGTCTAGGGTGGGATTTAAAATTATCCTTATTCTGATTATTTTTATTTTCATTGTCATTAGTAGTAGTAGTAGTAGTAGTAGTAGTCGTAGTAGTAGCAGTCGTAGTAGTCGTCGTAGTAGTCGTAGTAGTTGTAGGCGTCAGGACAGACAGACTTTCGACTCCAGTGGTTTGATCCGGTGCCAACAGCTCTGGGCTAGGTGATGGCGTTTGTTCATCATCTGCTGGGTAATGTAGAGGCTTACAGAATTACCACTACTATTGTGGGGGTCCTTGGTATAATCTATAAATATAGTAGAATGGGCCCCAAAACCCTATTCTAATCATTAAGGCCCGTATATTAGCAGGTCTCACTGAGTGGAGCAAGAAGCAATGCAGGATCGGTGAGAGTTGTTTCCACGTGTGTGTGTGTGTGTGTTGCGTTTTTGGCAAGTTCTCATGCCTCCCCGTGGTCCTGTGTGAGGTGTGGACGCGAGATCCTGCGAGAATGGCACCCGAGGCGGAGCGTACCACGCAGCAGGAGACCAGCTTTGACGGTGTAGTCAGGGCTTAGGCCTGGGGGCCTTGGGGTTTCATGGGCTAGGGCCGGAGGCGTATTTCTTGCATCGATGTATCCAAAGTCTTAGTCTTCCCGTATGGTATAGTAAACGCTGAAGCCTCAACTCCAAAGCCTAGTCTTCTGCATGTTTTGGAGCGTGTCGGGATTTCAGGTTGGGAGTTGGGAGGTTGGGTATGGAGTTCGTGCTATTGACCTGCTTTCTGACTCTGAGGTTCTTGCTTACAGGCTATCAGGGTCCTTATACTGGTACCATAAGGGTACTGCACAGGTGCTATAAGGTTTAGGGCTTAGGATGGGCTTCGGAATTTAGGCTTGGCATCATGAGTGCATGAGCGAGCAACCAGCGGATAGCGCAAAGGAAGGGAGCCAGGACGGTCAGTTGTGTCTGGCTCACAGGCTTATGTGCCGGCAGTGGTGTGGCCAAAGTAGACTCTACAGCCCCTCAACCCTTATAAAGCCGGTGACTATTCCTAAAGCTGATAGCTCTGAGCCCGCTACTTAGCCCTGATTTGAATGAAGTAGAATATGAAATCCTAAAACCAACCCTAATCTCTGCCCCTAAACCCTAAACATTACAAAGTTGCATTGATTAACGCTAAAACCCTACCAAAGTTTTTCACTATATCTCAGAACCCCAACCCCCAGATTCTAAACCCCGGAACCCCTAGATCCTAAACTTTCGGAAGCAAAACCCAAAAGAGCAGGAGATCGCCCAGCAAGCAAATGTGGCTGCAGCCCAGAAGGGCTCCTCTTCCGTTTGGCGCCAAGGGGGAACATAGGGGCCCGGAGAGCCCACTACCCCTTAATTCAGGGTATGTACGTATGTACGTATGCATGTATGTACGTACGTACGTATGTATGTATGTAGGTATGTACGTATGTATGTATGTATGTAGGTATGTACGTATGTATGTATGTACGTATGTATGTATGTATGTACGTACGTATGTACGCATGTAGTTATGTATGTATGTATGTATGTACGTATGTATGTATGTATGTATGTACGTATGTATGTATGTAAGTATGCACGTACGTACGTATGTATGTATGTATGTATGTATGTATGTATGTAGGTATGCACGTATGTATGCATGTACGTATGTATGTATGTATGTATGTATGTACGTATGTATGTATGTAAGTATGCACGTATGTATGTATGTACGTATGTATGTATGTATGTACGTACGTATGTATGTATGTATATATATATATATTAATTACGCATACATACACACACACACCTTCAATCATAAGATTGAGCCCTCTATAATTTAAGGTATATCCCTTAGTTATGGGGTATTGGGATCTCTGGTGGGGGATGTCTTGGAGGATCATAGGACTTAGTTAGTAGGGTTCTAAGTTATAAGAAGATAAAATTATGGCTACCTGACTTGTAACCCTACTCATTCCGTCTCTGCTCCTCTGAGTTAGGGGTTTAGAGTAGTATTGTTCCGTAGGGTTCCTCATTATCAGATGTCCCAAGACGCGTTTTGACTATAGTGCCGAGGTGGTACTATAGGTTTTGGGGTCCTCCCGAACGTAGGGGACCTGTTTGGGCTTTAGAGGGTTTTAGGGTTCAGGGGTTAGGGTCCACTGGCTCCCCCGATCCTTGCAGTAGGGTTGGCGGATTTCGGGAGACCCTGAACCCTAAGCCCTAAACCCAAGACCCTAAGCCCTAACCTCAACCCTTGAAAGGGCCGGGGCATCCTTGTCTCGGCGCTGTAGGGGTGTTTCGCGTTTCAGGGCAAGGGTTTAGTTGGTTTGGGATTTAGGGTTTAGTTTGGGGTTTAGGGGGTTTCGGGTTAGGGTTTAGTTGGCTAAATCAGGGTTTAGGGTTAGGGTGGGCTAGGGTTTAGTTCAGGTGCCAATGGATTCTGTCATTGACATCGCCAAAATGCCCACAATGGTCGGCAAAAAGCGCCTTGGACTGGATGTGCAACAAGGGTTAGCTTAGGATTTCGGGTTTAGGATTCAAGCCTCCCTTTGCAAGAGTCTCCATGAACTGAAGCCCGCTTCGCCCCGTGTGATTGGGATTGATTGGGGCCTTATCTCAAAAACCCCTCTTCAAAGTCGTGGATAGACTTGAAGTGAAAGCTCAGATCAGAGGACATAGCGCTCAAAAGCTTTGACGAAAGCTTAGAGGCCATAGTGCTCAAAAGCTTTGACGAAGGTGAGTGCGGCATTCGCATCGACCCAACAGTTGAAGACTTATCCGCGGTGTAGAGAACCCTCAAGACAAACTGAGATCCCTTGCGGCAACCCGCATGGCGACCCTTATGGTCGCCCCTGGAGTAGCCTTTACAATAACCCCCAAACCCTAAACCCTAAACCCTAAACCCCAAAACCTAGTAACAACAAAGCAGGAACGGGGAGATCAAGATGTTCAATGACAACGGAACTGCCACCGTCTCAGCATTTCCCGCTGCTCTTGGCCTTGGGGTTTCGGGCTTCGGGGTAAGAGGGAGCATCCCTAAACCTAAACCCTGGGCCCCAAACCCTAAACCTTAAACCCTGGGCCCCAAACCCTAAACCTGAAACCCTAGGCCCTGAACCCCAAACCTTAAACCCTCGGCCCTAAACCCTAAACCTTAAACCCTGGGCCCGAAACCCTAAACCTGAAACCCTAGGCCCTGAACCCCAAACCTTAAACCGTGGGCCCGAAACCCTAAACCTGAAACCCTAGGCCCTGAACCCCAAACCTTAAACCCTCGGCCCTAAACCGCACGTTTGAGATAGAAGCCTGAGCACAAGGTTCCGATATTGAGGGTCCCAGCTGGGAGTCCTTGTGACCTGGAGTTTCTGAAGCGTTCTTGAACCAGGGGCTGTGGGCGCTGAGAGATGTAGGGTTTAGGGGTGTTTAGGGTTAGGGATGTAGGGTTTGGGGATGCTTAGTGTTTAAGGTTTAGGTTTAGAGTTTAGAGTATAGGGGTGCTGAAAGGGAAGTGGAGGTCAACTCCTGGATTCAGGGAGCCGTCAAAGATCAGCATCTTGGACTCCCCTCCAGACTAGTCATGTCGGAAGCTGGCTGAGAAACCCTGATTTTACAACCCCAAAATATTAGGATCCATAAATAGGGCCCTGATAAACGACCAAGGTTTCTTCCTCAGGCTCCTATATTATCCTAAGCTCTACACCTTCAGGCCTTAGGGATTCTGAAGCCCTCGAGGTCTTCGCGTACATGTGGAATGCCGGTGCCCGCATCTGGGACAAAGTTGGCGAAGTGATGGGAAGCCAGCAGCCCAAGGCTGGGTTGGGGGTTCAGGGTTTTAGGGTTTAGGGTTTGGGGTTTAGGATTCAGGGTTCAGGGTTTAGGATTCAGGGTGGTTCAGGGTTTAGGGTTCAGGG